TGCCTCTGTGCAGGCTCCCTCCTGCACAGGAAAGGAAGGGCCCTTTCCTGTCCTTCTCTGGCCAGGTGGTGCGCAGGGCAGCAGGACGCTGGTGCCGCCCATCTGGGCCCAGGGTACACCCCTGGCTGTGGCCCCTCTCCGAGTCTCTCCCCAGCCCCCCATTCCCAGCCACAAAGGATGAAGACAAAAGGAAAAGAAAGAATCGGTCCTCCTACAGCTAGGGAGCCCCCACAGCCACAGTGCCTTCCCCTGAGCAGGTCTCCACCACCTGTCAGGATCCACCCTTCCCCTCGGGATGAGGGTGCACGGGACCCAGGACCCGGGAAGCCCTGTGTTCAGGGGCGTGGAAGGAGGGGCTCATGACCCTTGTATGGACTCGGTTTCCAGGAAGGGATACAAAGCAGGGCCATGAGGTGGGCGGAGCCGGGAGCCACAGGAGCCGCCTCCCCCACACATGTGAACGTGGGGCCCTGGAGGGCTCCCAGCTCACAGGAAGGTGAGGAGGCAGTCAGGGCAGGACCTGCGCTGCTGCGTCCAGGCTGGTGAGCAGTGTGTGCGTCCGGCTGCTGGTTCCCCATCTCAGAGCAAGCCAGGCCACAGAGGGGGCCCAACCCAGGCCAGGACCTGGCCGTGGGCCTGTCAGACTGGTCTCCAGTCTCGGTTCTGCTTCTCCATCTGTAGAGTGGGGTGGCAGCACTGTGCCCACAGGGTACCCTGGGCCCCGGGGGCCTGGCCTGGTCTCGGTCAGTGCTCTTTCTTGCCCTGAGAACGCAACCCAATGCATGGTGGGTCCTCAGTGGCCAGAGGCCTGTCACCCCTGCTGCTGCACCAAGGAGGGGCCAGGCATCTGGGGGCACCGCAGGCTGTGCCTTCTCTGGAAGTCCCGGGCCCATTCTGTTCGCCCCACAGGCAGTGAGGCGGGGCAACCCTGGACCGGGCCCAGAGGGGCGGGCCAGGATGTATGTGGGTGGACAGCAGGCATTCAACAAAGGACTGCCGCAGTCTCCTCACCCTCTGTGAGCCCATTAGCCCTGCCCCTAGGTGGGAGGCGCGGTTGGCTTGATCAGCTTTATAGCTGCCTCCAGGTTCCTGGGGAACCGAACATGAGGCCCTGCCCAGGGCATAAGCGGGGCCACGTTGGCCCCCAGGAGCCCCCATCCCCTCCCCACACACTCAGCACACTCACCCCACATCACAGACTCGGGGCAGATGGGGGGCTGGGGCTCCAGGAACCGGCTCAGGGGTGAGAAATGGGGGCAGGAAGGAAACAGGAAGGGCCAGGCGGGGAGGAAGCCTCGAGGGGGCCTGGCCGGCCCAGCTGCCCTGTGGGCAGGTCTGGGCCCAGTGGTCACTGCCCAGGGCAGGTCGGATCCCAGCTGCGCAGGGGCATCAGATCCTCCCTGCCAGGGCACAGATGGGGCCACAGGGGCCAAGGGAGGCGCCGTTCCTCCGGGCTTCCCCCTCCACTCCCTGAGCTCCATGCTGTGCCAGGCAAATGGCACTCCCAGCATGAGAAAGCAGGCCTGGGGACATGGGAACAACACCCGCCCAGTACACACACACACACACACACACACACACACACACACACACACACACACACACACACACACACACATCAAGGAAGCGGTGTGACGCTGGCTGCACGCCAGGTCCCGAGATGTGAGGACGAGAGAGAGCCCTCCTGCAGGCCTGGAGCCCAGGAGCTTCCCGCCTCTGCCCCATGGCAGCCTTGGCGTTGCTCTTCCGGAGCTGCTGTAGAGTCATGCGCCTGGCCTCACTGGGCCTTCTGCAGTGAACAAATGCAGGATTCCTGCCATCCGCACGGCCATCAGGCTCTGCCCTGCCCGCTGCGGCCAGCCATCCCTCTGAGCTTCTGTTCCGCTATCAGATGCTCCTGGCGAGATCTCTGGTGGCTTCCCCTGGCTCAGGCCCATGTCCCTGCCACCTGCTTTCTGGGTTGATGGCTGAAGCGCAGCCTTCCTGGCCTGGGGTTTCCTACCTCTCATGATCTTCCCCTTCCCCTGCCTCCGTGATGTGGGGTGCCCCAAACCCCCCGTGACCCTGGCCTTTGCATCTGTGACCCAGAACACACACTGCCGGCCTGTGCCGGACCTGTTCTCACACCGGGCAGCTCACACCAGCATGGGCAGAGCCAGGCCTCCTGGGGATGAACAAGTCTGTGACTCCCCGAGGAGGCGAGCACACAGGCACGTGTGCATGAAGCCGTGATATTACGGGGCCCCTGGGGGTGGGTGGACAAAGACCAGAGGGAGCAGCCCCACCTGAACAGGCTCCTCTTTCTGCCTGTGCCCATCGGGACTCCAAGCTCCAACAGCCTTCCTCAGCCCCAGCCCACACCCAGCCCCAAAAGCCCGTCTGGCCCTCAGAGTCACCTCCACGCAGTCGTTTGTTGCTCAGACCATTGCAGCAGTGGCCGATTGGTCTCCCTGTGCCACGTGGGCCCCTCCACCCCGCCGGGTAATTCTCTCCTCAGTTCTCCTTCACAGCACTCTAGTCTCTCCCCGCGTGTCCTCCCCACTCAGGCCCAGCTTCACAAGTCCCAGCTGTACCCTCGGGCGCCAGGCCTGGTCTCCTCCGCCCTGGCTCTGTGCCTTCCCAGTGCCCACAGAACGGAGTCCTGCCCCACCCCAGGCCTGGCTCAGCTCTGCCCTCTCCCAGTGGTGACATGTGGACCGGGCAAGGGAATGCTCCCCTCCGGGACTGGGGGTCCTGCAGCAGAAGCTGGAGCCTCCCTCTTACCCTGGCACCCTCACCTGGTGGCCTGGCCATAAGGACTGGGGCCTCTGGAGATCTGGGGAGTGGAGCGGCTGCCCTAGGGGACACCAGACCCTGGGCCTGAAGGAGAGGTCCTCGCAGGGCTTTCCGAGGAAGCCAGTGGTGCTTCCGGGAGTGGAGGGGAATTTTGGCTTGAAGGTCCATGAGTCTCACTGTCTGCTTGGTGTGTTTGACCAGAAGAACAAACACCACAAGGAGTGGCCTTTGTGACACTGTGGGGATGCTGTGGGGATGCAGGGGGCAGGAGGACAATGGGGCATGGCCTGGCCACCATCTGTCCCTTGGAGCGTCCCACAGGCACAGTCAGAGAGGCTCAGGACCTTCTCCCAGATGGGGAAACTGAGGCCCAGAGAGAGAAGGAGCTGCCATTTCTTCAGGGGGAACCCGAGACTTGGGGTAGCAGGACTTACCTGGTCTTCTGAGGAGGGACTAGTGACGCTTGTGTCTGCTTTTGTCCTGAGCATTCAGAGCACTGCGTGGCCATGGTCTGGTCCAGGACACCCCCAGGGGGACAGACACACCTCACGCGGATGCGTTGCAAATGCCCCAGCCTCGCCACCCCAACCTTCCTTTTCCTCGTTCCTCTCTGTCATGTCCCCCTTTGTCCCAAAACCAGCTGAACTCAGCAAAGAGTTACAAGGCTCATCCTTTGTGCGGGGCACTGGGCACAGGGACACCCTAGACTTCCAAGGGCTGAAGCCGTTCTGTCATCTCTAGTTCCAGGAGACTTGGTCGCACCCAAGTTTGTGCCCGGCACAAGTCCCACCCTGCAGGGCAAGGCCCAGCTGCCCACCAGCACAAGAGACCGGGAGAGATGGCCTGTCCAGTCCAGGCGGGAACAGCCGTGCACCTGGCTCTGGTGCCACCTGTGCGCATTTCCCAGAGGTAGCCAGGGTGAGATTCGGTACACATTGTGTCTGGCACACAGGAGCTGCTCAACGCCTGCTACACGGATCAATAAAACTGTGGAAGGGAGAGGAGGGGGCGCGATGACGAACAGCCCAGCCACTGAAACAGTACTGAGTGGGAGGCACAGGGCCACCCAGGGCAGAGGTGGTAACCTGCTCCCCGAGGTGTGGGCCGTGGGGCTGGGGCTGGACCAGGGCAGAGATCCCGCCTCTCAGGAAGTCACGGGGTAGGGACGGCCAGGGGCCCAGAGAGGAGAGGCGAGGGTGACAGGCTGTGAATATGCAGGGAGATAGATGGCTGCCTGGCGTGAGGTTCTGGAGGGAGGGTCAGGAGGATCTGGGGCACAGCCTGTGCCGGGGCCCCTCTGGGCTGGGATTGAGCTCTGCACTGGGGTGAAGATGCTGTCTGAGGGACACCCATGCGGGCAGGGATGGGGTCACTGGAGAGAAGGCCCGAGGCACCCACAGCTGAAGGGTGGAAGCAGAAGAGAGGGACCTAAGGAGAGGCTGGGGGCCCCTCTTCTCTCTCCCATCCCCACACCCCATGAACCGTCACGGCCTGCTTCCCCAGTGGGCTGTGAGCCCAGGCAGGCCAGGCTGGCTCCACGCCGGGTCACGATGACTGTTCACGGGGGCAATTCGTGTTGTGTTCTTGGCACTAGGCCTGGCAGCCCTGGGTGCTCGATAAATGGTAGCTGCTGCTATTAGCAGATGACAGGGCTGGGCCTAGATTCTGGAGCTCAGGCCAGTCGGGTCAGGTCACAGGGCCCAGGAACTCCCAAGGGCCTTGGTGAGGGAGGTCTGGCAGTACCCCTTGTCCTTCTCATGAGCAGGGCCCCGTGCCCCAGGCCCCACCCCAGGCTGCCATGCCAGTGTCCTCTCCCAGGTCCAAGGTGACTTGGGGCTCATAGGGCTGAATGCCTGCACAACCTGCCCCAGCTCCTCTCCTGGCCGGGACACTGCACGATGGGGTGGGTGCTCAGACTGGGGACAGGTGGCCTCTGAGGACATCTGCAGGCTCTGTCATCAGGAGCAGAGGCGCCCTGATCCCTGATGCCAAATTCCAAAGCTGGAGCCACCCCAGGAAGACCAAGCTGGCAGAGCAGAAACGTTTCCAGCCCTCACACACCCATCCCTGCATGGGACTTTGCAATCTCGGGTGCCCGCCCAGCACCAGGCCAAGGGCTCTCACTCCAGCCCCTGGACAGGGTCCATGGATCTGTAGCCTCCACGCCCTGTGCACCCTCTCCTGGACAGGAAGCAGAGGCGTGGTCTGCTGGAGTCAGTTCCTACCTGAGAGAAGAGGCGGGCTTCACCCTGCACCCACTGGGCAGGGGCTGGGGTCCCAGCCATCAGGAGGGAGTTGCCTACAGCTGTCGGCTGGCGGCCCCCATTAACTGGGCCACTGCTGGGCCTTGGCGGTGGCTCTGGTGCTGACCGGCTTGGGTCTGGGGGGTGGGGAGGTGAAGGCCAGGGCCAGGCTTTGAACTAACCACAGAAAGCTCTGAGATATCAAAGAGCTCTTAGAGACCAACCCCATGGGGAGCAGCCTGGTGGAAGAGCCTGCCTGGTTCCCAGCAGTAGAGGATCAAAAAGCATTTGGTTCAAGAACCTTTAAATACCTTGAAAGGCAGGTGAAGCCATTTCCATGAGTTCTGAGCGAGATTAAAACCCCTGGCTGATTGCAGACAGGCTGGCTCCAGCCATAGCCAGCCGATGAGGGAGCCGCAGAGGCCGGAGGGAGGGATGGTAAAGACGGGGTACTGGGCTCAGATGGGCAAGGAACACACGTAATGACAGGCACCATGTGGCGTTTGCTTACAGATGGGTTTTCTGAAGGAGGTGAGATCATGGGACTCGTAGATCCCCACGAGAGAATTTAAAACAACACTTTGTGCTGCAGACTGGTAAACTGAGGCTCTGAAGGACTGAGGGACTTGCCCCAGGCCACTTTGCTTGGGACTGGCAACCCAAGGTGCATTCATGGGGTCCTGGAGAGACCCCAGAGCCGAGGCTGAGCTGGGGCTGCCTCCAGCAGGCTGCATCTTCTTAGGGTGGTGGGGGCTCAAGGGGCTCAAAGCCACCACGGGGTTCCAGGGAGAGCCAGGAGCGGACGGGTCCTGGCCCTGGGTGCCTGGGATCCCCCAGGCGGCTGGCGAAGACTCCCAGCGCTCCTAAGCAGCACCCAAGTACTTTCACACCTCTCCACCTGCAATGTGAGCAAGCAGGAGCAGCAACACCAAGCGCTGGGGCTGCAGCCAGAGTTCAAGTCTCAGGTCCTCTCTGGATGCCACAGGACAGGCCCTGCCCACAAGGACCAGGGCTCTGGAGCAGGGCTCAGGAGGCCACGGCACATGGTGATTCATCTGTCTGTCATGATGAGAGGGTACAGAGGACAGCAGCACTTCTTGTGCTTTCACCCGCTCCAGGCTCTGGGCCTCCGAGAGGAGGAAAGGGACGGTGGGGTGCGTGCAGGGACTGCCCCTGTCCCCTGCTGCCCTGACTGTGCCCCTGGGACCAGGCAGACACTCTGCCTGGGGCTCCTGCCACAGCGGTGGCAGCAAGGCATGAGTTGTGTTTGTTCTGTCTTGTGAGCTGCTCAAATGGCTTCCTCAGCATTTTTATCAATAATTCATCCTGTAGCCCATAGGGTGGGGATGAGGGGCAGGAGCTTCGGGGCTATGGCAGCTGTGGAGACCGTGCCAGGACCCAGGAGTGCTGCCTCCTCCCTGTGGCCTAGCAACCCAGCCAGCAGCCTCGGGGGCCCTGCCCCGGGAACTGGGCCTTGTGTCTGCTCCTGAGGGACAGAACGTTCCTCCCTGAGGCCAGCCCAGGACACCTGGCCACTGCAACAGAGCCAGATCGGAAACAGGCCCAAGGGTCTACCCCAGGCATCATCAGTCCTGGGAGACTGGGTGTGGCCTGCACTTCCTGCTGCGTCACAGAACCCAGAGGCCAGCAATGTCACAGAACTAGAGCTGCTCTGGGCCCATGGGGGCTGCAGGAGAGCCTAGAGGCCCTGCCCTCCTGCAGCCTCCGTTTCCTGCATCTGCCTGGTCCTTGGTGACTGCCTTCAGGATGCTCCATCAAGAGGCTGTGACTCTCATGTGCAGCAGGACAGTTCATGGCTAAGCACCTGGAGGAACTTCCTCACCAGGCATGGGAATGGGCGATGTGGTCTCTCTGTGGAGGATAAACAAGTAACGATAAAAAGGGTGTTCCACATCCATCAGGCATAAACCGTGTGCTCCAAGTCATGTACTAAGTGCTTTGATTGCCTCGCTGAGTGGAATCTTACAGGGCTCTAAGGAAGTAGATTCTGTTTCCCCACTGTAAGGAAGGAGGAAACCCAGGTCCAGGGTAAACACAGCCTGAACTGCAAGGCCATGCAGACCTGTATTCTTTCCTTTGCCCATTGCCCCTGCATCCTCTAAACACAACAATTTAGGCCCAGAGAAAGGGTGCCTTCAGTGTTCTGAAGAAGACAAGAGGCAAGAGCCACCCAAGGTCCCCAGCACCCTGGAGCCTCGGTTGGTGCCTCCTTCTCCTGGGGCTTATTTTGTCTGCCAGGAACTGAGCGGCTCTGACACTCACGAACTTCGGTGTCCAGGGCCTGCTGGGAATGTGTGTGGCCGAGATCTCTATTTTGGGGAGAGAAATATTTGGAGGCATAAGCTCTCAGTGGGAACAGGCACTAGGCCCCCACTGGGGTTGCACAGCAGCTGGCTACAGGCAGGGTGGGGACCCAGGCCCTCTCTGGCCCTCTGCCCTCTCCCCGGCTTTAACTTCTTGGGTTATTCCCTCCTTCTCTAGGGCCTGCTGTGCACCAGTACCTGAGGAGGTGGCCTGGACCACCTCTCAGATCAGCTCTGAGATGCTCCACAAAGTGCAGCAAGGGCGAATGCTGCTGTCTCCTCCAGGGCTCGGCGGGACGGGGACAGCTCTGAGTGGCGTTCCCTGAATGGTCAGGGAACCTCTGTGTGCCACTGGTGGCTAGGGTAGAATGGGGGTGCCGCGGTGCACTACTTGCTCTTTACAGAGGAACAGGAGAGGCAAGTTGGGGAGGGTAGGGGAAAGGCAAGGGGCAGATCATGGACTCCAGCCTACTGGCTTGGCTTTCTGGAGTTTTCCAGGCCCAAGAGGGGCTGAACAGCCCCCTGGATTTGGGGCTGCAGGCAGCGGAAGGCACTCCAGGGCATATGGAACAGAATGGCCCCTGATCCTAGGGTGAAGGCTGCGATTTCTGGCCACTGGAGAATTTTTCCTTCCATTTTCTTTGGGCAGGGCAGGGATAGAACTCAGAGAAAACTCAGGACCTTGTCCTTGCCAGACAGGTGAGGTGCCACTGAGCTACATCCTGGGCCCTTTTCCTTCCTTCCTTTTTTTTTTTTTTTTTTTTTTTTTTGGTATCAGGGATCGAACTCAGGTCCTTGTGCTTGTGAGGCAGGTGGTGGAACCACTAAGCTAAATCCCCGGCCCTCCTTCCATTTTTAATTAGAACATTCAACCCTAGGAAATCTGTTCTCCACTGGAACAATCTCCAAGATTTGCTGGGGAATTTCCTTATCTGCTTCTTCACCGGAAAGCTGTGGGTGGAGGTGAATATGTGTGTGTGTGTGTGTGTGTGTGTGTGTGTGTGTGTGTGTGTGTGTTGGGGGGTATGCGCCACATGGGCTCCAGGAGATGGGGTCTGTCTGTTTCAGGGGACCCTGGGGACAGCTTTGTCCCTGGGGGGGCGCAGGCTGTCTGGTGGCAGTGTGGCTGGGTGTGAGTGGAGCTGCTCGCAGCTGCTTAGCTGGATTTCCAGGTGGAGGCAGGGACTCTCCCTCACTCCTCCCTCACCTGCACGCAACATTCCCAGCTGAGGGGACAGCAGCACCTGGGGTCGGTGCAGAGCGGGGGCAGGATCTCCCTGGGGGCCTGCCTCTGCTTGTATGTGTGCCAGTGATCAGGTGAGCAGGGTGTGACATCATCCAGGTTCCTTCGAAGTCCTCAGAGAGCCCGTCCTGCCCCTCCCTGCCCCAGAACCAAATGGCTCCAGTTCCTCAGAGAGAAGAGCTGCACCTGATTTGGACTATACTGAGCTCGTGCGGGGCAGGAGAGCCAAAGGGGGTCTGGGTCGGCTGGGAAGGAGGGCTTTACCTCAGGGTGCCAGTTGTGGGGTCTAGAACAAGAGCGAGGTAGAGGGGCAGCTGCGGGAGATGGATGTGCGGAGGCTGGAGGGCCAGGCTGGGTGAGTGGGGCTCGTCATTCGATCCAGTCCCCACCGAAGGCAGAGACCCTAGTCCCTTTCACGCTGACATTCAACACTGAGCTCGGACAATGATCAGTGTGGTGGACCCAGGCCCAGCGCTGGTAGAAGTCCGTTCCTCGTTTTCACACTTGCCAGCCCGCCTCCCCGAGCCTGCGGTGGAGGCGAGCCCAGAGCTGACGCCCTCGAGCGGCCGCCGGGCGGAAAACCCGGGCAGGATCGCACGTCGC